TACTCAATTTTAAGTCGTGCTTAAATATTGTGCCATCTCTGCCATTTTACAAAGAATTTGTAGAGACAGAACTATACTTAAGCACGACTTAAAATTGAGTAGCGTTTGAGTATTCCGACATAAGATAGGTACAGTTCATAGAGCCCAAAAAGCATCCTTAACCATCGTGATAACAATTTTAATCTAATCCTCCAGAGAAATATAACATAGAGGAAGATAGTTAATACTTTTTATTGTCAATTTAAGTTTTAATTACTTCTCAAGGCCTACGGACGCCATATTAAACGATAGCAGAGTTTATGAAAAGCGTTAATTGCATAGCTGACTTTTATAGCAATGTCGGTATGAGTGTTCAGTTGGGTTAAATATCTTTAGTTAATGCTGTCTTTAATAAGGATGATGATAGGGTAAGAAAATTGAAAATGTAACAAGTCCCTCAGCTAGGTAATGAAAAAATATTAGACACGTATTTTTTTTATTTTGTCGTATAAGAAAACAAAACTTAGATTAACTCGTCGAGTACCGGTTTTGTAGACACAATTATAGAACAATAGGTTGCGGTCACCGGTGACCGCTTGGTGTTTGACAGTTTAAACTAATCAAAGTTTAGGATTGACAGGTGTGACCCAAAAGTGACGTTATGCGATATTTCAAATCAATGTATCTTCGAACCTATTCGTTTCCGTTTTAAAATAATCAACCAGACGGACATTAAAATAAAAATTAGTCATCTACCCTATCATTTATAGATCTAGACGATCGAGGGAAGATTTATTATGAAACCACGGAGACAAAAGGTATAAGTTAAAGATACTACACTTAGGGTCCATACGCACTATGGGTAGCCACTAGCCACATTGCGGCTAGCCGTCCGGCTGACCGCAAGTACAATTATGTACGTAATATTAATTTCTATGCACACTACGCATATTCAGTCTGCGGGTGCCCGCCATTGAGTGAGTGTGTGCATGTGGTACGTCTGGTAAAATGGAATTCGATGCTTGCTCTCTCTTGTTTGCAAATAAGGATGCACCCAGTACTTCTTTGTTTATTTTTTCTTCTTTATGTAACGTGTGTATGTCGTAAATAGCTGAAACTTCTTCCACATCCATCTTTGAAATGGATCGGCATTACCGCAAATCACAACGGTTCTTCAACCGTACGTTGCGGTTGCGAATGCGGCTGCCCGCGTATTCGGCTGGCCGCATTCGCAACCGCATCCTGCGGTCAGCCGAGCGGCTAGCCGTGATGCGGCTATCCGCATAGTGCGTATGAGTCCTTAGAGCAAAGAAACGGAACCACCACCGGTTTTTTTGTCACCGAATGCGCTTGATACTATAACGTTACGAATGCGATAAATATTCGTGCTTGGCATTCTAATGATGTTTACGATTACGAGTATCTCGTCAATTTTAGTTAATTGAGATAGTGTCTTAATTTAAGTCCTTAGTCTATTATTTATCTATTACAGGTTTTCGGGAAACTTAAATTGCATACCTACATACTACCTCTAGATATACTTACATGTTTCAGTAGAAGCACCGCATGAACTTCAGTGTCTTGTATGTAAATGTTGTCTTGCATGATTTACATTAAGTTAAAATAAATGTTATTTAATTTAAACGACTAATCAATTATTGTTATACTTTTTCCAGGAAATACTTTTTAGTTTAGTGTTGAAAATGTGACTGCTGACTTCAAGGTACTCCGTCACCGGGAGCATTCGCGTGTAATGTAACGTTACAGATCTGATCATTACATCAGTGAAGGAAGAGAACCGAGCATTACAATGCTGACCTAGTAATGATACAATGTGTAATATCTTGATACAACTTGTAACATCAATGCACTCTACTTCCCTCAGCCCCCCGCCCGCCCGCTTCGTCTGACATGAGACATCTTGCCATGAAATGCTCAAAGTCGAATCAATATGTTACATTACACGCAAATGCTCGTTAGCCAGGGAGGTACTATTGTAATGTAATGCTCAAAGTCGAATCAATATGTTACATTACACGCAAATGCTCGTTAGCCAGGGAGGTACTATTGTAATGTAATGCTCAAAGTCGATATATTTTACATTACATGTGAATGCTCCCGGTGAGGAAGCACCTTAAGGTTCAATTCCCATTGATATTTGATATTTCAATCCAAAATGTTCATTTGTAAAATTAAAACCAGGTCGTTTATTGATATTGAAATTTCCAATCCAAAATTCTCAATTATAAAACGGAGTCCGAAAATGGAACCAATCGTAAATTAAATCCTGCAAATAAACATCTGGCATAAAATGTGTGATTTATAGTCCCTGATAAATTGTACTGCTGATAAAACAAAACATACCTACCTATAATTTTGTAATTCACTATATAATGGCTTTTTTACGAACAAGCCTTAAACCATATCTTAATTAAGAGCTATCTGTAGCTGTCTTCTTACTTATAGGTTAGATAAAACCAAACTATCTTTAACTATCACATTCAGGTTCAGGCTTCCTTAAAACTAGATGTTGGTGAAATCGGGAATTGAAATGAAAACAAGTCAAAACGGTCGTCTATCGTTTGAAATAGAACATCAAATATTCAATAGTTACTTTTGTACTGAAGATCTTTGCCATTAATATTTATTACTGGATGATGATAATTTCTGCGTTCTGGTCCTATCCAGAGGTTCTCAAATAGGGGCCTGAGAATGAGGCGCTAATGGTTCCAGTGAATGATGGTACGGCAGTGTTTGCTTCGCGCTCGATTTGTTGGGTTTCAATACACCTTAGTCTCACAGAAGTCATATCTTCCCTATTTATTCCTATAATGGAAGAAGAAAGAAATAAAAAACATTTATTGGCAATTGGCACACAAAAAAAAGATTATGAAAAATAAAAACAGATACTTATATAAATACAAAATATTATTAACAAACTTAAAAGAGTACAGAAAAGAACAAAAATCATGAAAATAAAACAAAATAATGTACATACAATACGAAACAATACAATTCGTTTTTGATAATAAGAGAAATTAAATATACCAAAATAATAAAGTCCCTACCACGCAGTGTGACGATTAAAGACACAATCATAAAGAAAATAAGAACTTTCTTCACTTATTTCCTATTTCGAGTCCAGTAAAGAACAGTTAATTATACGGGGTAAGGGCACGCAAATCGTAATAAAGAAATAAAAGCTTTCCACAATTCTGATAAGACGAACTAACACAGGTACTGTACTTTTTCGTGTTACTATTGATGAAAATAAATAATTACTCATTTGTATGTATCAACTAGCCCAAAACTTATATTAATCTAAAGTTTCGGTCATCGAAAAGATTGTCTGACTGACTTAAAGGTCTAAAAATTGGGCTAAGAAAGATGATATGCTTAAAGAACTAACTACGCTAATGTTTTATAAAGTAAAAAATATGTTGCTACAATGAACTTTTATAATGTTTATCAAGAGAACGATAAAAATTACAACATTTTGCAAATAGAATGTCAAGAAGAAGTTATTACTTATTAAATTACATGCTTGAATGACTCAATCGCACATGAAGGTGGTCTATCAGATGGCAATGCCACAACTTGGTTCATTATGTTCTCCAAACGAGTTTTAGTAAATAATCGAATCAACATAATTTTCACATTTGATCATACTTTCAAAATGACTGAAATATGTAAAAAAATCAGCTACTGTCTAAACAAACCAAAATAGCCTGGCTTCCTACAACTCAAGTGTATCTCCAAGCGAACAAGGCCTATTATAAGTAAATAAAAAGATTCAATTTGCTAATCAAATATCACATCTCCTACAATATCCCTTTTCACACTCATATCAAAATCTAACCAATTTTGAAATGATTCAGATACACACAAAGATTCTCTATCAACCAGAATCGCAATACAGCATCGCAGTACAAAATTAAACTTGAAGTCCTGGCTACAATAAATTTAATCCGACATCAGCGACCGGTCTGGTATTGATCTGACCTTCTCCTTGCACCCTAGCAGCTATTATGGTACTTCCCGAACTCCCGGTCGGTTTAAAGCACCGTGGGAATCGCGGATATACCTACTGCAGTCTATCTTTAGAACACTGGTGATAATTTTCCCACTTGTGTTTTGTAAAATTCTGGTTTGGTAAGTACAAATCTGCTTAGAAGTAAAAATTGGGACCATTTCGGAATTTCTTGCTGAAGTAGGTACAGTTTGGCCAAAAGAGTTTGTAATAATTGAGGTCGCTAGTATCGTACTGTGGCAACCTGCTAGGTACACTACGATCGCAATCGGTTTTCATACTTGTTATTATGTAACTTAAAAAGAAGAGGCCTTTTTAAAAAAAAAAAATCCAATAACTTCTCCCGCCCGGGTGAGGCGGGAGGGAGTGTCGAAACTTTTACTGACTAAAAACCACCCCGTTCCTACTCCTGCACTTCGAGCCGGAGCCCCAGTAACCCGTTAAGTCTTCCACGGCTCCGTATCGGCATCAGCCCTATTGGGCCCCATCTGTGGTGGTCTGATAGCTCCTTAAAGCGCGCGCGGAACGCGACGCGCTGTACGCTCGAAAAAGAAGAGGCCTACCTCTTCTTTTACTGGATCATTTACTGGATAATCCAGTCCTAGTCAATATTAATTCCACCTGTCACCGTGTCACTCTTTTTTGCCAAGCTGTAATAAGAAAAAGTCGTGAATTTGATGTCCAAAAATAATATAATTGCAATATTCATCAGCTAATGTTACCACAAGCTATATCTGTTATTAAAATCACGTAACAATAATGCAGTTTTAACTAGCTTGAATAATTTAAGCTAACTACGACATTATCAACATTTTTCTTTATCTTTACGCTAGTTTTCCGAAATCATCGAAACGAACAAGTCAGTCAGTCTAACATTTTACCACTATCCATCTTCCTAAATAACTAGGTAGCTACCTAGCTAATAATATTTACGTCTTCTTACTTCTGTTTTATTCTCTTCTGTGTTCTTACATTCTTCTGCTGGGTGCAGGCGTCTCTGGAAGTTCGTCAAGTGGGCAGGCGTGCTGTCAGCCAGTTGGCTGGTCGAGGAATGGGAGACGAGGTCGTCATCATACACTTTAACGATGTTTATAACATCGAACAAACTACTAGTAAGTATAATGTTCTTTTTAATTGTTTTTGGACTATTTGTAAGTTTTCAAATTCTTTATTGCGTTCCACAATGTTTTACTTAGGTGGTAATAGAATAATACAGAGTGCTAAGCACTAATAATTATCGCATTCGTATCGTAACAGTATCGAGCGAGTTCGGCGTTCTGATTGGTTGGTTTATTTTTTTATTTATTTTATTTATTTATTTATATCAGGCAACGAAGGCCCATATTAAAATACAATAATACTATAATATCTACTACAATTTCAACTTAAAATACTATAAATACATGATGTAAGTAATAAATTTAAACATTAATTATCACGACTATTGTGCTGTGTCAGCGTCGTGTGCTGCGCGGTGTCAGGTATCCGGCCGCGGAATCGCCGGAAAACAACACCTTTCGGCCAAAACTCTGGTGTCATGAATTTTGATAAATCCACGGAAGGCACTCTCACCACAAATGAATTGAAATTCACGCTGTGGTGGGATTCTAATTTCAAAACCAAAATTTTATTGGAGCCGGCCAATCAAAGCGCCGAACGCGCTCGATTCTATTAAGTTACGAATGCGATAGTTATTCGTGCTTGGCACTCTAATCATTGTGGACCCTGTCGGGCACAGCAAGGAGATGACATGTATAATTTATAATTTCAATACAAAAAATGTCAAATTAGCATTACAGAATCACATACATTACAAAATGAATACTAGCATTTTTCTGGGATAAATTGTAGAATAAAATATAATGTTAAGTATTATTGGTTTTGTAATATAAAGTTCTGTTCTAGTAAAACACAGAGTACTTATAAAATTCGACTGCACGGTTGGCGCGGTGGCTGGGCAACTAGCTGCCACACAACGTATTGCGGGTTCAATTCCCGCACGGAGTAACTCTTTATGTAATCCACAAATTGTTGTTGTTGTCTGGGTGTCATGTGTTTGTGATATTGTATGTTTGTATATCCACGCACTCACATCACAGGAGAAAATCTTAGCGTGGGGCAACGACATTCTTTTTTTTTAAATAAAGGTTCTGGAATTGTGCTCTATGTGTCGCAATTAGCGCACCTCTTATTCATCATTCCATGAAATTCATAACAAAACCGGTAAAAAACGCAATGTCTTTCTGTCTTTTAACTCGTCGAGTACCGGTTTTGTAGACACAATTATAGAACAATAGGTTGCGGTCACCGGTGTCCGCTTGGTGTTTGACAGTAAGAATTTAAATGCGATTCCTCATTTTCCCGCAAAAACTGTTCCTTTAGACAATTTAGGTGTCTTCGTCAGCGAAAACCCCGCGGTGGATTTAATTAACCACGCGACAATTTGAGTAGGGTAGTAGATAGTGTATGAAAATTAAAAATGTAATTAATCCGTCAGTTAGATAATAAAAGAATATTAGACACATATTTTTTTATTTGGTCGTATAAGTAAAGAATACTTAGATAAAACAGAGTTAAGTTTAGGAGTGGGTTATTATGTCACGCTACCCTTTAATAATAAAAGTATTTTTTTTTTTTTAAATATTTATTTCAATTAGACCAGCAAGCCACCTCTGCACTACATCAGAAGACCGACGTGAAACAACGTTGTGTGGTGTTTCCCAATCCCTGAATCCCAACCGTCAATCAGTCCTTATTCCATAAAATAAAAAAAAAATAAAAAAAAACTACAACAATAAAAATTTAAAAGTGAAGCTATTTGCTCATTTCAAGGTGTAGATTCCTATAGAGAAGAACGAACAAGACTCGCCATAGGTTTTTAACTCCATTTAAATCATATCGTCGAACGTATTTCATTTTGTAAAAAAGAAAAGTACATGTTTAATGATTTAAAATAATCTACCATTAAAATAAATTTTACGACACTACCCTATTATTCAAAGAATACAGTTCCAATTTCACACAACATAAATTGTACGAAAGCAACTTTTCATTACTAGTTTTTATGTCATTGTAGTCAATTCATTACGACCCAATCACCTCCATGGTAAACAGAATGCGATTAAATATTCATCAAGTAGTGCACATTTCAAAGATCAAAGTCGTGCGTATGATAACAACCGCGCAGTTCTTAATCACTCAACCACTGTGAAAATTAAGCTATCACTATTTAAATCCCACTACTACATCACTGTTAAGCCTTTTGCGCTTCCGCTCTCGTGATACTTAGCGCGGAATTTTACCAAATACACCCACTACGTACCTAATACACGTCCTATTTGATAAAGACGCCTATTGCAATACACTGGGCACAATAGGGTAGATGCCTAATTTTTATTTTAATGTCCGTCTGGTAGATTATTTTAAATCATTGAGAGACGTATTTTTATTTTCTTACAGAAACTAATACTTTCGACGATATATTGATTTGAAATGTAGCGTGACGTCACTTCTATGTACATTTTATACGTAGACATGACGTTTTAGCCCCCACTCCTAAACTTTGATTCGTTATATTTAAGTATCATTTTATTATACAACAAAAAAAAATACGTGTCTAATATTTTTTAATTACCTGACTGACGGACTAATTACATTTTTAATTTTCATACCCTGTCATCGTCCCAAATGGGTACTTGCCAACTAGTCAAATTCATTACTTTTTTCGAACTGTCAGAAACGACAGTTTTCTATGATTTTTTGTATGAGATTGCGTTTTGTGACGTCACGTTTTTTAGCGTCAAACAGCATACTTATTTGTTGAAAATTTGCTGGAAAAATACTGAAATTAAGTTGGTCATAAAATCAATTAATGAAAGTGTGTTTATTTTTTCATATTTTATTGCATTGTTTTATTATGTTATTCCATATATTTATTTATTATGTTTATTTTTGATTAAGGTAAGTACCCAATACTAGGTTACTATTCTATTACTGAGCATTTCGAAATCAAATCACTTGAGGAAACCAAACCCACATCACGTCCTATGTCTGAATTTCACAATTAACAAGACGAATCTATTGGTTGCGTTTATTGTGGTTTCTCTAATCAAACAGATTGTATAACATTTTTAAACTGATGAATTACCACGCCATTATTGTCACGTGCATCAAGCCTGCCTCGCAAGTCGGCTAGGGGTCTCGGGTCGGACAATATATTACTGGGTTTTTAAAAAAATCTCTGGAATTGTGCCCAGTATATAGCAATAGGCTCACCCCCTATTACATGGGACTCATAAACATTAATAGTGAAAAGTGGGTGTTACATTGTACAGTGGCATTAAGTGCTGTAATGGGTAACTCTGGCTACCCCTTCAGAGATGAAAGGCGTGATGTTATTTTAAGTTATGCATCAAGCCATTATTTTGTTACTTTTGTATGCTTTAAACTGTCAAACACCAAGCGGTCACCGGTGACCGCAACCTATTGTTCTATAATTGTGTCTACAAAACCGGTACTCGACGAGTTAAGTGTGTTTATGCCTCCTTTGAATAAATAAATTAAAATAGTGCGACGTCTGACCAAGGCGTTTGATCCTCAGGTCCTTTTTTTAAGGGGCGATAACCATCCAATGAGTTCTCCCGCCCGGGTGAGGCGAGAGGGAGTGTCAGACTCTTACTGACTAAAAACCACCCCGTTCCTTCTCCTGCACTTCGAGCCGGAGCCCCGGCAACCTGTTAAGTCTTCCACAGCTCCGTATCGGCATCAGCCCTGTTGGTCCCCATCCGTGGTGGTCTGATGGCCCCTGAGGCGCGCGCGATTCGCGACGCGCCGTACGCTCGGTATTTTCTGTGTACCTAGTGTTATATTTAATCTATTTCCTTCAGACACGGAGCCGGTGGGAGGTGCCTTAAGATTCAGCACAGCGGTCAAGTCCCTGCAACATCTAAATCCGTTGGTGCTTTTCAGTGGAGATATCTTCTCGCCGAGCATGCGTAAGTAATATCTTTACTTTTTTTTAATTTCTTAACTTAACAATAGTTATAAAACATCACTACATAGCAGTGGCGTGCAGTCCATATAGGCAAAAAGGCTTTGCTTGACATAAAATGTACAAACGCGTTTATTAAGATTCAATAATAAAATAAAAGTTTGTAAAAAAACGGCTAACATAAATATACATTCACATATACTATACACGGACCGCACGCCTTTGCTACATAGTACCTATAAAACAAAGTCGCTGTTCGCCGTCTGTCTGTCCCTATGTATGCTTAGATCTTTAAAACTACGCAACGGATTTTGATGCGGTTTTTTTAATAGATAAAGTGATTCTTAAGGAAGGTTTATATGTATAATAAATGCATATTGCATTCCCGGGTCGGGCAAAGTACTACTGGGTTTTTATAAATTCTCAGTAGTAGCACGGAGTCTGGAATTGTGCCCGGTATATGGCAATAGGCTCACCCCCTATTACATGGGACTCATAACATAAATAGTGAAAAGTGGGTGTTACATTGTACAGTGGCATAATGTACACCTCTGCCTACCCCTTCGGGGATAAAAGGCGTGATGTTATGTTATGTTATTGCACCCGTGCGAAGCCGGGGCGGGTCGCTAGTTTTAAAATAATTAAATGATTGCCACCTACAAATTGTAAGTATTGAAAATAACATAATGTAGAAATTAATTATTATATTTCTCGGCTTACCCACGTAATTGACAGTAGCACTTCAGTAGCAGCACTAGCAGCGTGACAGTCGCTGCATCGCGGGTCACGGAATGCTGCTCAATATGAGCCTCTAGCATGGCTTGAAACTAGTCGAGTTCCTTGTCAAACAATAACGTGAATAAGCCGAAGAAAAAATAATTAATTACTTACTTTCTTATTCCAGTGAGCACATTCACAAAAGGCGAGCAAATGGTACCGGTACTGAATGAAATTGGAACGCATTGCGCCGTATTCGGAAACCATGATTTTGGTGAGTGAAAGTATAGTCATGGGTACGTATAGATTAGAATTAGTTGCTTATTTAATTTATATTTGTAAATACACTGTTTTTTTATAGCATAAGCCGGTAAACGAGCAGACGGATCACCTGATGGTAAGCAATCGGCGTCGCCCATGGACACCTGAAACACCAGAGGCGTTACAAGTGCGTAACCAGCCTTTTGGGAATTGGGAATTTGAAGATTATGGAGGTTTCGGGGATTCGGGAAACGGGGACTAGGGAGAGGAGTAATTGGGCCTCCGGTAACCTCACTCACACGTCGAAACACAACGCAATAGTTGTTTCACGTCGGTTTTCTGTGAGGCGTGGTATCACTCCGGTCGAGCCGGCCCATTCGTGCCGAAGCATGGCTCATCACACTTTTGATGATGATGACGTTGTTCATTCTAATTGTTTTCATACACGTGTACATCCTCAACCATTTGACATGCAACAATATATTAAATTTTTTATTATACATATACAAGGTGTTGTTTTTAAGCCGCGTTATTTTCTAGGAGGTACTCGTCTATCAATTCTGAGTCCAAAACAATAAAAATAATTGTACTTAAATATTTTTCATTTTTCTATAAATTACGGAAAGCCGTAAGTGCGAACTACACGCCGCCGTCTTGTAACTAGCTTTATAATGCGGCTTAACACACACAAACTCAAACACGTAATTAATATTATTCCTAATTCCATAAAACTCCAATAAGAAACATTGCTGTCGCTTATTCTGAAATACTGTCGAACCTAAACGATTTATTATAGTCGTATTTTTAACTATTGGCCCGAAATTTTCTCTTATATTGAACCTTAATGACTTCTGTGACATGTCCCCAAGAAAAGACACGGTTTCAAAACTACACCTTGTATACTTACTTTGGTACAATAATACCTAGGTATAACAACGACGTGCCAAACGTGTCGACAATATCTTCCTAGTTGTCAATTCTCTATACAAGTAACACAACTGTTGGAATCGTGCCCAGAGTTTAGCAATAGGCTCAACGCCCAGAACTTTCCTACCGTATACAATACTTCCTACTACAGATTTAGTTTTTTTTATTATTTTAATAATTTGAAATGTCCCAAACCCCCCCAACCCCAAACTTTTTTTTTTAGGGGGGAAAATCATCGAATGACTGCTCCCGCCTGGTTGTGGCGGGAATGTCAGACTCTTACTGACTAAAAACCACCCCGTTCCTTCTCCTGCACGTCGAGCCGGAGCCCCGGTTACCCGTTAGGTTCTCCGCGAATCCCCACCCCAAACTAGGATTTTTCTTTGTCTTCGAAGGTACAGTGGAAGAGTTTCACACGTATGGTACATAATAGATCTAAACTTCGGCTTTATGCCCGGCTCGACCGCCGATACACGGCCTCACTGTCAACCGGCGTGAAACAACGCTTGCGTTGTATGCTGCCCCTATCGTCAAATATCTAAGTTCCCCCAAAGGCTGGCAACACATTTGTGTTTGTTCCGGTATTGCGGGTATCCATGGTGGGCTACGAATGCTTACAGTGATCGGTTTACCCATTATCGAATTACAAAAGTTATACATATACCTACAAAAATTAAATCTACAATCAACAAATACATGGTATGCTGTATTTTAACAGTCAACCTTAATATTATCTGTCTCTCTCTCCCCGGTCGTTCCCTCAACAACGAGGATCGTGATCGTCCTGGCATCTGGATCGGACGAATTGTCTCCATCGGCTCCTGTCAGCTGTCATTTATATTGTGGTGTAATACCTCGATGCTGGGTTGTCCTTTAGCTGGTCAGACCATCTGGTTGGGGGTCGTTGCCCTTCTCCCCTCAACATTTCCCACGACAATGAGTTTCTCCAAATATCCCTCCCCCTGCGTCTCGCTATAATAATATGTCCAAAATAGGTATAATGTCAGGCGCACAGTGTATAAATGTTGCATTATACTTCATCTTAATCTAAAACCATTCGTTACAGATTTCGGCCTAGAAGTCCTGTCAGGCCTGGTGGCTCAGTGCAACTTCCCGTGGTTGATGTCCAACGTGATAGACAACGAGACGGGCCGACCACTCGGCGACGGCAAGATCACACACGCACTCATGTGTAATGGACATAAGATCGGATTCATTGGACTGGTCGAACAGGTAAAGGTTTTGTTTTTTAAACTGTCAAACACCAAGCGGACACCGGTGACCGCAACCTATTGTTCTATAATTGTGTCTACAAAACCGGTACTCGACGAGTTAAACGAGTAACGAATGGAGTTTCTTGTTCGTTCTTACATAAC